TACAGGCTCCATAACTTCTCTGATTTCTGAGCAGCAAGATCCTAGTAGAATAGATCTGAAGAGCTCAGAACAGCGGGGAATCCACATATTCAGGATAAGCAGGGTGGGCCTTGTGAGTTTGGGGTGTGGCTCTGAAGTTCTCATATGCTCATGTGCTCCCCGGGCCTGATGCCCGACCTTCTGCCATTAGGAATTCACTCCTCCAGTTAGTTTAAAAGGCTTTTACGCCTTTAAGACCAACACTCCCCCTCCCCCTGCCATCAACTGGGACTTTTGTTTGCAATCGGGCATCCTAACGGATGGAATGGGGAGTCCACCTTTTGCATGGTCAAACCACAGTAATACTGATGCATTTGGAGGAGTAGATTCAGTGAGAAAGAATCACCTACACCAGAGAAACAGAGTCAAGGATAGGGGTCCCAGGAGCATCAGGAATTATGAGAACTTACTTCTCATCATAGATGTATAGTTTGAGCTTAGTTTCATCAATTCTAGACTCAGCCCTTCTCTGACTAATACCAAACTCCGTTGCAGCAGGAGGTATTTTCCAAAGATAGCCACAACAATACCTCCTGTCCTATGTGCTTTTCTAGATCCTTGCCACTCTTGTGTCGATAGGTGAAGTCTGTGACCCTCAACCTAGAACCAGGGTGGGCTTTTGTTACTGCCTTGACCAACAGAGTGTGGCAGAAGTGATGCTCTAGGACTTCTGAGGCTAGGTCGTAAATATGTAAGGGACTCTTGCCTTCTTTCTTGGGACATTTGCTCTGGGAACGCAGCTATCGTGCTGTGAAGAAATTCAAGCACCTTACCGAGAGGAACCAAGGCTCCCAGACCACGGCCCCAGCTGAGCTGCTAGCCAACACCCAGTGCCACCTTGCCAGTCATGTGACAGAGCCATCTTGAAAGTCAATCCTTGTAATGTACCCTCTCAAAGCTCCAGAAGATAGAAGTCCAAGATCAAGGTGTTGGCAGAGTTGATTTCCTCTGAAGCCCTTCTCCTTGGCTTGCAGATGGCTGCCTTCCCACTGTGTCCTCAAGGGGTCCTCCCTCTGTACCCATCTGTGTCCAAATTTCCTCCTCTTCTAAGGACACTAGTCATATTGGATTGGGGCCAACGCTAAGGGCCTCATCTGAACTTCATCAGCCCTTTAAAGGCCCCTAGCTCCAAATATAGTCGCATTCGGAGGTCCTCAAAGAACTGATTTTTCAAAAGACAAAATGTATCCTTTTCCCTTCTTCTTCTTTTTTTTTTTTTTAATTAAAAAAATTTTTTTTGGGGGCGCCTGGGTGGCGCAGTCGGTTAAGCGTCCGACTTCAGCCAGGTCACGATCTCGCGGTCCGGGAGTTCGAGCCCCG